CAGGACAAAGGCTTATGCTCAATCTGGGCTTTTTAGAATGAATCCAAGGGCTTTGGCTTGAACGGCAAATCCATTTACCAAATGAGATAGTGATTCATCACTTCACCCCATAATTTCCTTTTTCCATTTGCCTAAATCAGGAGAGATGACGACTGTTTTCTTCCCTACGGAGGCTCCAGGCTCGCTACATTCCACTCACTCTTACGTCTCCTAATTTACAAATGTAAATAATTTTCAGAAACGCAATTGCTCTACTGGCTTTATAGCAAAATTAAAGAAACACATCCTACAGCATATTCAGTTCAAGCATGCACAAATGGTTCTATGCTCTCCGTCAGTTTGGATCTTTGTCAGACATTGCATAACCTGGTCTCTGAAAGGAAAGAATTTCCAAATGTTCCGTGTCATTATCTTCATCTAATTTGATGATCTGTATCTGTTCTAGGAGAAAAGTGTAAAGAAGAAATCTATGTTATAGTTTCATCACAAGAAGGAAGAACTTCAGATTATTTTTAGGCTCTAAACTAGCTGAAATGGTACGAAGTGTCAACATACACCACCCTTTTATGTTACACAGGAAACTGCAAAACATCAAAACAGACAAAATATTCATATAAAGTTCTGGTCTGCCCTTCTGCAATCTGACCTTCATTTCAAAGTGGGAATTCAGCATTCCAAGTTAAATCTGAAAGTATTTCTGTTAATCAATCAAAGCTTTACACTCCAAAGTCTGCTCAAGATCAGCCTTCACCAGGTAAAGAAATAATACTGTATGAACCAACTCTGAATGTATACAGCTGTATCAGATGAGCTGAATCAAAGTTCACAAAACTCAGCTGGACTCAGAACAGCTTATGCACTTTTCATTTTCAAAGAGTTGGGCGAGATGGGGCTAAGTGAGAGGAACCAGCCCTATGTAGCTCCAATTTAAAAAAGAAAGCATTTCAAGAAAAAAACAAATCATATCAAATCTTTACTGCTTCACATAACCTTCAGATGTCTAGTGGAGGGCATAAAGATAACCTTATGCTGGGTCTCCACTGTTGCAGGTGCCTTGATCCCTCCAGCAGCAGCCCGTCACCCTTGCCTGGTGAGAGAAGAAACCTCAGGAAAAGGCAGCTTGGGCCAGTGAGAGCCTCATGCCAGCAACAGGAATTAAATCTGCCTTGCCATAGCCCTGACCTGCACGAGGCCTGAAACTGAAAGGTGCTAGAGACTTCCTGGCGCTCTTGTATCCCCTTTATTTTCATATCTTTTCAAATGCAATTAAAAAAAAAAGCTCCACAAACTCAGACTAAATCTACTTCTTTACTGACAAAGGTAAGGAGAAGACAGGCAAAATGCAACAGTGCTAAAATTTCAGTCAAGGAGCCCCAGTTCTGGTCTTGACCAATGGTTCCAGAAATTTAAATGGGTCATGGATAAAATAAAAATCTGGGGAAAGATTTGACCTAAGTGTTGTAATAAATAAATGAATGTTTTAACAGAATTTGAGACCACCAGCAGTTTTATTTGTTTTCAGATTGGCTTTTAATATTTAAAGAGCTCCCTATTTATAAGTAAGACTGTGACTGCGTAAGACACTGGCCTGATGAGCAACTCTGCCCGCGTTACTAGCCCCATTGACTGCAAAGTCTGTTCAGATGTCTATGATTATTTGTGTGTGAGTACCACAGCATTGTGAATACTGGCAGTATTGTGCCTCAATATTGCAATTTTGGTCTAATACATAACAGCCTGGACATTCATGAACAAGTGATCAAGCTTAACAAGGCCAGAGGAAAAAAAACATTCAGAATAAATAATTAAGTATTAAAGAGTATTGAAATGATTAGAAAGTATTTTCTTAAAAAAAACCTATGTATGCGGTAAAATTAAAAGAACTCATATGATTATATATATACAATCTTTAAAATCTCCAATTAAGTTTCTGATATTCTTATTCAACATACACACAACAGGGGTACATACAGAATTGACTCTTCACAGAATGAAAAAAGTATATAGATTACAAATAACTGAGGTACATTTAAGAAGACTGATTCCCGTTCCCTATTAATTTGTCATTTTGATACACACCAGTTTCAAATCATCAAGTACTAAAAATGTAAACTTGACTGTATTTGGTCAAGCAAGTTTCATACCACGCATTAATTTACTTGAATTAAAAGCAGGGTGTAGAGAGTAGTATAATCCTGGGAAGAATCTTCTGGCCCACTGCCCATTACATTGGCTGCTGGACAGTCTTAACTCTGCTATTCCCTGCACCAAATCTTATATACAAAAACAGCGAAGCCACCTGAAAGTAAAACATACATTGCTACACTATTCTTTATCTGAACCGTATTTCCGCCTGCACCTCTGGTTTCATTTCTGTATCATTCTGCTCACTTAAAAATTTCACCTTCAACTTGTTTTTTATAATACTTTCAGTGCAACATTTCCCAAATTTGTTTCTAAGATTTAAAGTGCTCTCTGCCTTAGTTCTTTACAGCAAAAAGATCCGTAAAGAGACCATTTATTATTATTTTTCCCAATTTCTTATAATTAAATATACATTATTTTAAAAGCAATTAAACCTGACTCTTGAGCTATTTGGAGCCCATTCAAATTTCAGTGTTTCCCCTAATTCTGTGGAGGGGGGTCTAATCCCTGATCCTAGGGCATTACCGAAGGTGCCTAGCCTTTTACATGAAACTTAAAATCTTTAATTCAACAGGAGTTATGGGAACTTAGGTTTTTTTTTTTAATCAGAAAAATACAAGGCTGGATTGCAAGCCGATTTTTAAACATTTTGGAGCATGGCAGGGTCATGTGTGCAGACTTTGAGATTAAGATTCCCAGGTAAATTAGCACATTTTCTTGTTTCAAATCTCCACAGTCCCAAGCTATTAAAAATAAACACATTGTATGTAAATAGTACTCTGTCTAGAGGCAATAAACTTGAGTTTAGGAGAGCTCTAGTCAATAAGGCTTGGAGCACTGTCTCACCCCAAGGAAGCAAAAAAGCCTACATTTAAGCAGAGCCCCCCAAATCTGCAGCACAATTTCCTAGAGTAACTCCCAGCAGCTGAAACTCCCATAAATGTCTGTTACAAACACGGTCCCGGGGCAGGCTTGGAAACTGCAAGATTAACACCAGGACTTCCAAGCACAGTGCTGTAGCCAGCTCACAGCACGGAGCTGTGAACAGGAGCATCAAGCAAGCACCAGTACAGAGACAAAGCAAGTTACAAAGCACTACTTTAAGTTTAAAGCAATAAATGTATCAAAGCCTGGGATGCTGGTTACTTCACCACAGCATGCACATATAAAGAACGAAATTTTCTTTCCACCCTCAGCCTCTCAAAATGACCTGTCAGCATTGAGGTGTCTATCCAAAGAGCCATGTTTATACTGCAGTTACACATGATGGAGACAACCATCTCCTCAGGTGGGTTAAGAAAAAAGTCAATGTTACCTGGTGAGCACATATTAATATCCAATACAAGGAATGATCGAAGAAGTAATAGTGTTTTCTTTCAAAAGCAAATACCCCGTTTTCAGAATTAATCTAATGAGAAACCATGAGACTCTAATGACTAGAGGCTGAGAGTTTGAGGACTTAAGAAATAGGGATAATATAACTTAAAATGCCACTACACCCCCATCTGCCCCCACCTTCATTCTAACAACAATGTACACCTTGGCATTATACACTTGCAAGCAATTCTTGAGTGCGTAAGGACATTGCTATATCAAACAGTCCAGTTTTACTCTTTATTAAGCCCCCACCAACCTAGAAATGCTTCTGCCAGGTTTCCACTTGGTTGCCACACACAATTTTCTGTATTTCCATTCTTATCTTCGTTGATTATCAGCACAGCTGAAAATAAACTTATAAGAGGCACTGTTATAATAATAGGGATGGAAGCTGATAAACTGATATCCCAGCTTTGCAAGTGATGCTGCTAAGATTTCTATGGAGGCAGAGGATGATGATACTATTCAGGACTATGGCGTCACTGTGAGAATCAGGATCACATGCTACAACTTGTATTTCCTACAGCTAGAAACACTGCGAATTTAAGAAGTATTAGATGTTGAAGCAATATAAGCCATTCTAGACCTCTGAGAAGTGAAAGACCAATGTAAAATCTATCCTAAGATGGACTTGGCTTGTTGATATGTAAAACCCAAATATCTTAATGTCAGTAGGTAATGGAGACAAATCACTTGGAGGAAGGGTGATTTTTTTTTTTTACCCTAAAGTCTTTCCAATTAAAAAAGAGAAGACTTCTTTCTTCTATTAAAAAAGAGTTCTGATCAAATTCTGAGTTCTGCACAACATACTGTTGCAAATGTAGTTAGAAAGCAACTTATGTTTAAACAAAGGAAATATATTCCTTTGTTTATATAAGTGCTATTTTTTCTACTGCATGCCCTACCCCCAAAAAAGTTAAGTCTGAATTTCTCTTTATCATCATTCCATTGTTGATTTTTAAACACCTGCTCTTACCTTTAATGCCACAGGTAAACCTCCATGACGAAGTACGTATTTTTTGCTGTTAGCAAGAGATTTATAATGGGAACATACTGTTTATTTGGAATTCGTACCGTCAGATTCACCAAGAAGTTCCTCAATAGTGAATGTGATGAACCACGAAGGGAAACACTTCCACCAGCTTCTTAGAAACCTAAAATAAATGCTACCCTGTTCATTCTCCATGTTAGTCTTTACAGTTGTGAATTATAAGCACACTTTCCAACTTCTGAGATGTACCTCACAGTAAGTTACTGGTCTCTGTGGTGCCTGAGACAAAGCACGTGAAATTACAAACCATGTGAACTAAGTATTATGAAGTAGAAACAATTCCTAATTGACTGAAATGAGCCATCCTCCAAAAAAGCTGGCCAGCAGGTATTATACACATAAATGTAGTGCCAGACAAGTCTATGAAACAAAAATAGCTGAAAAACATGGGAGACACACACACACGCCTTCTGAGACCAGTACTCACCTTGTTGCTCACTCTCTGTTTCAACTTTTGCAGGACTTGGTGCTACAGGAAGGGGTCGAGGAGGACGAGGCTTCGGAGTTGGGGGAGATATTTTTTTTCTTCCAATGTACTCTACATAAGTTCCTGGGAAATCCCCCCTCTCCCCTGTGGTTTCATTAAAGCCATTTAACCAACCAATTTCTTCAGGCTTTGCTTCTTCCCCTTCACTGAATCCAAGTGCTAGTAAGGTACCTTTATTCACAGTTAATACATCTCCTAAGTGCAAGTCAATGTCTTCTTCTCGCTCTTTTTTGTAGTCATATAAAGCTCTGTATTGATATCCTTCGGCACTCATCTTGGCAAACGATTTAACATTCAAAAGTGTTATTAAACAGTATCAAAATGCAATTGTCCAGTTATATTTTTATGTACAGAGAGATTCAAGATGTATTAAATGGGATAATAAAAATGTCAATAGCAATGTCTAAGTAATAAAATCCACCAGAGAATCAAAAAGCACCAGGATCTGTCATTTCACTGCTGATGTTTTTACTGATGTTATTTATTCTGAGTCAATGATTGTTGCAGAAGTATGTGTTCCACTTCTTCTGTGTCTAGCAATATTAGTTCCTTTTCTGAGCTTGCTGGCACTTCTGGGTCTCCATACTCAAGTTCAGCTGATTCTTATAGCCCGTCACACCTTCTTCAGATGGACTTGCCACAGATTGCCCACGTACCTTAAATACTCTGCCACCGAACTCTGCACACATGCTCTTCCTGGAAAGAGAAGAGAAAACTGGTGAGATCATTTCAAATTCTCTTGATGATTGTGAACTTGGGATTCCACTTATGACTTAAGCATTCTGCAACCCTGGCAGAAGTTGTATCCCACAAAAGCGCCCTAAATAACAGAATAAAGCGACCTCACAACAAAATCTGTCAGCTAACGCTTGTGTTTTTCTGAAGGATGTATGTCTAATTACTTGAACCAAATCTGCACCCCTGCAGTACGAGGCATGCTTCCTTCTCTGTGGCTTATGGCTACTTAAGTCTCAGAATGAGAGGGCTAAGCCCCGGAGCTATCCCTGTAGTGCAATATCTAACCTGGCAGCAAGATTTTGTATGTTATCTCCCTGAAGACACATGGCCACAATCCTTCCCCACAAGAGGTCCGCCACGACAGAGGAGGAGCTCACTGTAATAAGCAAGCGCTGATGCTCACCACAAGGGTATTCAAATGCCTGCTGTTTATGCAGAGGGTGAGGATGGGCAACAATCCCCAGCCCAAAGCCTATATTCCAAGAACCTATGGGAGGGAGGGTTTTTTCATAATCTGCAGGAGAACCAAAAAGTCCAAAATCCTTTCACTTGATGAGTACCATATTTGTTTTCTTAAAAAGAGGGGCTTCCCCAATCCCCCTCTTCCAGATGTTTTTTAATGTGTTTATGGTATAATACTAGAAAAACAATCAGCAACTGAAACAGGCACACCCAGACCACCTAAGCAGCACTAGCAGGAGGAAAGTATCAGGGTGTATGCTTAAATTACGCTAAAGGCAAGAGAATACAGGCCTGAACATTTGACTCAAGGTTGCCCAACCATAAAGTAAAAAGAAAAAATATGACTAAAAAAAATCAATTTAGAAAACAGTAGCTTAAAGACATGTAGAACAGTGAAAGTCTTCTAAACATTATTTCAACTGTTACTCATTTTCATCTACTTAAAAAGACAAGCCCAATCATAATTTGAAATGCTACACTGGGAACCAGAAAGTGCTAACTACTCAAAGTTGCATTGAAACTCCTAAACTATAGCTGAATAAAAGGCCCAAGGGGGCTATGTAATACCAGTAGGTAAAATATTGTTTGTGTACTATGTACTTAGTGTACAGAAAGATTATTTTTTTGAGAAACGCTCCCTTTTACATTGCAAAGAGACACCAGTAGATAGGGCTGGAACATGGAACCTCTGACAGCTCTTTTCCACACCATTTTCTCTAATGCCTCAGTCATCAAGGCTCTGAAACATGACTAAAGTTTCTGACAAGCTAAAAAGTGTTTATAAGAATGTATATGGGCTTCCTTTGCCAGTGAATGACCCTGATCCCTAATTTGTATGCGGCTCCTCTTCAGTCCATCAGGTCTAAATATAATTCCCTGCAGCTTATTGCGCAACATCTCTTGTAACAGAACACAGAGGAAAATCTTGTAAGTTCTCGAAGAACTTCCTTACCGTCCCTTGCAACCGGCTTTTGCTGTAGGAAAGAATTATCTGAGCCTGAATTAGACTTCTCATTTCAAAAAGCCTACACACAAGTATTTATTTTAATAACTTGCAAATCTATCCACGTGGATAAGGCATCCAGCTCCCACCAAAATTTTAATGAGAAATTTCTGCAGCCACTTCTGAAAAACCAAACTATGCTGCTTAGCTCACACTACCAAACATCACAGACTTCACAATTAACGTGAAAAGAGTTTCACTGATATTTCATTTTGCCTCTTCTACCAGAGGAAAGCACACAGACAAGAACTAGAGGGAAAAAAAAGGAAATAAAAATCTAAAGCACAAGTATCAATTAAATTGTACAGAAGCCTTTTCAAAAGCGCGGGTTCCTCCCACTTCATATAGCAAGGGAACAAAATGCACTTACACACCTTAGATCTAAGTGTTGGAGCTAATCTAAATGTTTGCAATAAAACCAACTATGCACAGCAAAACCTGCTAGAAAATTACCACTTTGACTACATTAAATATTCTGAAATATTTATTTTCTTTTTAAGAAAGGTTCAACAAGTGCTCTGCTACAACTACTCATTTCGTTCCTACTGCCTACGGGTATTCTGGCAGTCAACAAAGTCAGTCTTCTAAACATTGCATAATTTAACTGACTTGACCTACTCCTCTGATCTTTTACTATCAAATATATCATAGCAACTTTATGGCCAGATATTTAAAATGAGTACTTGTGTCTCTTACACTTGGTCTGACAATACAGAACTGGAAATGTAATAACATAAAAACTGCTTATGACAGTTTTTAAGCATATTTTAAAAACTCAAAACCTGAATCAGAGAGGACAAAAGGTCCGATTTACTTGCATGTTAGAACAATTCAGTGCAGTTATGGTAGCAAAGTTTCCCTAAATCCAGTTTCCCTGGGGCTCAGAGCTGCAGTACCGGTTTACACTCACTCCTCAGCACTGCCTTCGATACAGGGCCCCCAGCATCCCATCTCCTGACTGATCCACGTGGGGTTCACTGGGGCTCAGAGCTGCAGTACCGGTTTACACTCACTCCTCAGCACTGCCTTCGATACAGGGCCCCCATCTCCTGACTGATCCACGGTTCATGTACCTGGAGGCACTCCCATGGGTGAGCCATGCTGAATTTCTTGGATTTATGCCTTTTTCTACTCTCATTATCTGTCAGGTTGGGGATGGAGGAAGACTCAGACTCCAAGAACCTTGCAGACAGCCCTAATGTAGGGCCAGATACCGGTTCTGCACACCAGTCCAGTAAATCTGCAGCGTCTCCAAAGAGCCCTCTTTGACAGTTCTTTACTTACTGCTCTGTTAAGATCCTGTATAAACGAATACCCTTTACTCCAAGTGAAGTTACATGGTTTCTACATTCAGATATTTTGACTCAAACTGACTTAAGCTGATTAGTCTTAAAATAAATAGCTTGGAGACCATCTTAAGTAGAGGGGAAAAAACCAAACCAAACACATTAGGCAAGAAACATTGTTATATTTGAGATGATGTATTACTGGATTTCCATTTGGCGGGTGGAATGGAAAAGGAGGAAGAAGTATTGTAAAAGAATCAAACGCTCATTTGTTTTTTATTTACTGCCTAAGAGCTTGATCCCAATGAAAGATTCCTGAGTTCAGGCAGAATTCTGGTCTCTCAGCAGAATGGTTTATGTCGGGCATTTCAACAGTTATAAAATTTAAAATTCAACAGAAAGATGCAAGAGATTCTTGTAAAGTTAAGTGGTAAAGGAAGAGAACATGAAAGCTTCCCCTCCACTCCCCCCTTCTCCCCTTGTTAAAAATGATGTCTGGCTCCCACTCCACTGGTACCCAAGCATTTCTTCCCACACTAGCTAGCATTCCTTTGGTGACTGAGAACAAAAACTTTACTCCGTGAACCCATGTTACTACCAGCCCAACCAGAGGGTTGCGCAGGTGTTACTGATACAGCACCCCTATACAAGACAGCAAAGATTTTCTCCACCTTTATATTAACACATTTAATAACCATATTTCCTCATACTGCCATCTCTCATACTTATTCCAAAAATCCCTAGGGAAACAGTGCTTAACACGAACTTCCCTTCCATTGCAGTTATGAGCTTCATCAATAGAAGAGCAGACTACTTAGGGAGGCACTGAAATAATGAGAATTGAAGTGTAAGCAGGGAATTTGCTTGGAGACTGACTCTTCTCCCCACTAGGTGTCTACACACCTGTAACTCAAACTGCAGTTATCTCTGAAGTACGATGCTGCTGCTCTCCAAATGGAAATGACCAAGTACCACATCGCAACACTATTTTCTGGAAGAAAGTGAGGTCCATGATATATCGTGAAGAAGGAGATGCATGCTTGTAATACCTTTATGCCACTTCCAGTCTTTGAAAGAGTGATTTTGAGCCTATGGACATTCTACCGCCGAACAAGTTCAAATACGTACACACGGAAGAAGTACATTAACTTCGCTGTGGACACTGTAAAGCACGTCCCACTCTGAAACATGTCAAAGACTTTATACGGACTGCAAAGCTACGGAAGAAGGCAGGGGAGCATGAAGACCACTTCAGAAAAATCATTAAAATAATAATAATTAAAAATCCTAGGAAGGCAGTACAAACTGAGCTTCCATGCTGTCAAGCAGCCGTCAAGCTAACTCCTCCGGGAGTCCTGCACCGACATGCACCCGGGCGG